CCCCCCCCCCCTTGTGTTCACAAATTATTCATTGCTGTCCAAGCTAGTGCCTTTTTCCGTGTTTGTATTTCTTGCCCTACCTTTGCTGGTTTTCACTGGAATACTTCTGGCTTATGGTGTGCCTTCCACTGATATCACTTCAACAGTTACTTGCTTATTTTATAATTTTTTTAAACTTGAGTCCCGGGGGGGCGCCTAGGTGGCTCAGTCAGTTAAGTGTCCAACGTTGGCTCAGGTCACAATCTCACAGTTCACGAGTTTGAGCCCCATGTCCGGCTCTGTGCTGACAGCTCAGGGCCTGGAGCCTGCTTCAGATTCTAGGTCTTCCTCTCGCTCTCTGCCCCTCCCCCACTCATGCTCTGTTTCTTTCTCTTAAAAATAAACATTAAAAAGAATTTTTTTTAATTTTTTTTTAATCTTTATTTATTTTTTTGGCACAGACAGCGGACGGGAGAGGGTCAGAGAGAGCGGCAGGCACAGAATCCGAAACAGGCTCCGAGCAATGGGCACGGAGCCCGACGTGGGGCTCGAACTCACGGACCCGGAGATCTCGACCTGAGCTGGAGTCAGACGCGTAACCGACTGAGCCACCCAGGCGCCCCAAGAATTTTTTTTTTTTTATTTAAAAAATAAACTTGAGGGGCACCTGGATGGCTCAGTGGTTAAGCGTCGACTTCGGCTCAGGTCGTGATCTCATGGCTCGTGAGTTCCAGCCCCGTATCAGGCTCTGTGCTGGATCCTGCTTCGGATTCTGTGTCTCCCTCTCTCTCTGCCCCTCCCCTGCTCACTCTGTCTCTCTCTCTCTTCCTCAAAAATAAACATTAAAACAAAACAAAACAAAACAAACAAACCTTGAGTCCTGGAGGGGCCTCACTGCACTCACAGTGATGAATAGTGTAGAAATAGAGTAAGGAAAAATGTGCCTCCAGATAGGAGTCTCCTTCCAAGCAGAGAATCAACTTTACCTAAAGAGAAACTACAAAGGATTTCACCTGGACCAAAAAATACTTTTGTGTACTCATGTACAATGTTATAAACCACTTCTTTTTGCACGAGGGATAGAGAAAACTTAAGAAGGAGACAGAGCTAAACAATAAACTCGGGTGTTAACTAATCGGATTGAAACACACCTTCAAGACTAAAACTGTGCTCCATCATAAGTGGCTGAGGTCATGTTGTTTTTCCTGCCACACATAAAAATACAAAGATGCTCTCGCTTTCAAAATGTTTTGATTACCCACTAACATGTTGTTTCAGAATCTCGATCACATAGGACTATGAGAATTCATAAAACATGCAGGAGATAGCTTTAGTTAGAACGCCGAAGTTTCTTGAGTACAGCTCAGCCTTATGTTGAAGAGCTGAGGAATGATGGGTAATGAGGTCTGCAACTTACTGTGAAATAAAATACGACGCATAAATGTACGGACAGGGGCTAGAGAGATGGATCGACATGTGATAAAGCGTAATTGTAGAATCTGGATTAATTGTGGGATCTAAATGATGGGCATGAGTGTTTACCATAAAATTCTTACAACTCTTTTGAATGTTTGAAAAAATGTCATACAATGACACGAGGGCACTCAGTCACTTCAGACTATGAAGACATGCTAGGTGCTTTCACGTTTTATCTCCAACAACCCTGTGAGGTTGACAAGTGAGACAACTGAGGCTTAGAAAGGTTGAATGACATGCTTAAGGCCCCATAGCTAGTTGGGACTGAGCCCAACCTGGAATCCAGGTCTACCAATTCAGGAGAGGCTATATGGTGAGGTAAAATAACACCCAGTTATAATCATTTGGGGGTGGGGGGGGGCTCCTGGGTGGTTAAGCGTTGGTTAAGCATCCAACTCTTGATGTCGGCTCAGGTTGTGATATTGTTAGTCATGGGTCGAGCCCGTGTCAGGCTCCCTGCTGAGCGTGGAGCCTGCTTTGGATTCTCTCCCCGCCC